CCCATCAAAATACCAATGACATTCTTCACAGAAATGGAAGAAACAATCTTACTCTTCATATCAAACAACAAAAGACCCTGAATAGCCAAAGCAATCCTGAGCAAAAAAAAAAAAAAAATAAATAAAGCTGGAGGCATAACACTACCTGACTTCAAATTATACTATAAAGCTATTGTAACCCAAACAGCCTGATACTGGTATAAAAATAGACATTCAGACCAGTGGAGTAGAATTGAGAACCCAGAAATCACCCCTCAGGCTTACAGCCATCTGATATTGGACAAAGGCAATAAAAATCTACATTGGGGAAAAGACTGCCTCTTCAACAAGTGGTGCTGGGAAAACTGGATATCCATATGCAGAAGAATGAAACTAGATATGCACCTCTCACCATACACTAAAATCAACTCAAAATGGATTAAAGACTTAAGTATATAACCTGAAACTGTAACATTACTAAGGGAAAATATAGGTGAAACACTTCAGCAACTAGGTCTGGGCACAGACTTTATGAACATGAGCCTGAGAGCACAAGCAATAAAAGAAAAAAATAAACAAATGGGACTACATCAAAGTAAAAAGCTTCTGCACAGCAAAGGAAATAATCAACAGAGTGAAATAACCTACAGAGTCAGAGAAAACTTTTGCTAACTATGTATCTGACAAGCGGTTAATATCCATAATATACAAGGAACTCAAGCAATTACACAGTAAAAAAACAAATAACCTAATTAAAAAATGGGCAAACGAAGACATACAAATGTCCAACAGGTAGACGAAAAAATGCTCAACATCAGTAGTCATCAGGGAAATGAAAATTAAAACTACACTGAGTTACCCCCTCACCCCAGTTAGACTGGCTATAATCAAAAAGATGGTGAATAAAAAATACTGGCGAGGGTGTGGAGAGAAGGGAACACTCCTAACACTGTTGGTGGGACTGTAAATTAGTACAACCACTATGGAAAACAGTATGGAGATTTCTCAAACAACTACAGATAGATCTTCCATACAATCCAGCAATCCCACTTCTAGGTATATACCCAGAGGAATGGAAATCATTATGTCGAAGGGATACCTGCACTCCCATGTTCATCATAGCTCTGTTTACAATAGCCAAGACATGGAACCAATCTAAATATCCATCAATGGATGATTAGATAAGGAAACTGGTATATATACACCATGGAATAGTACTTTGCTATAAAAAAGAATGAAATACTCCCACTTGCAACAAAATGGATGAGCCTGGAGAAAGATGTTGAATGAAATAAGCAAAGCACAGAGGGATAAATACCGCATGTACTCACTCATATTTGGGAGGTAAAAGAGAAAGAATGAAGGAAAGAAAGACCACAGTAGTGCTTTGGACTTGCAGAGGGAGAGAAAACTCCTTGGGCTACAAAGTGGAGTGGAGGCGACAGGGGGAGGGAGAGGACGGTTGGGGATAATTGGGTGGGGGACATGGGGTACAAATGCAATTTGTGGTAATGGGTGTGCTGCCAGTATAAATCTGGCCCTCACATCATGGGCATGAGGGGTGACAATCAGCTTTGTATCTTATGAATATTCATAACCAATAAAAAAAATTTAAAAAATTTTTTAAAACGGTCCTTTTATTAGTAGGTCCATAGCAATGGCAAACTTTCCAAAAGATATATTCCTATGGTTTTATAGCTTAGGGCTCACAGTTTTGCTATGGAATACCAACTCTCACTGAAGAGAGATTCATAGTAAAAAAATTAAAAACCTTAGAAGGAAATGAACCATCATTAGAATCAGTAGATACACTAAAAGATACTCCCATTCCTAGAACTGTAGATAACGCAACGATCTGGGCTTTAAAATAAATATACTACAAATATACAAAGAGCTAGATAAGCAAAAAGCAATGGTAAGAACTAGACTATGGGGAAAAACATGAAAATTTGAGAAAAGGAAATAAATATGAATATAAAAACTATATAGACTTTTTTTAAAAAAAAAAAAAAACCTCTAAAAGAGAGGTTGAACACTAACTAGCCACAGATGAAGACAGATTTAATGAATTAGATGAGAAATCTTGGGAAATCACCTGGAATGTAGCATAAAGAACTAACAAAATGGA